GGTATGCACCTGTAATCCCAGCTACATGGAAGGCTGAGGCAGGATCGCTTGAGCCCAAGTGTTGGAGATTGCAGTGAGCTATGATTGTACCCTGCTCTCCAGCCTGGGCTACAGAGCAAGATCCTGTCTCAAAAAGAAAAAACAATGTGGTATGCTTTGAAAATATTTTCACTTTCCATACAGCTTTTCTTTCTTTCAAATATTCACTTTCTAATCTTCATAAACAACTTTAAAAGAATAAAAACTCTTATAAAATCTATACATGATTGAATGTATATTTAACTTCTAAATCAATTTATTCATTACTTTGTCCAGATTTCTGCTAATAGTACTCGGCCTGCCCGCTGGTATACCAAACTTGGATTCTTTCCTGACCCTAGACCTTTTCCTCTGCGCTTGTCATCACTTTTCAGTGATGGAGGAAATGTAGGTTGTGCTGATATAATTATTCAAAGAACGTATCCTATACAGGTATGGTATATTCTTGATGTTACCATGTATTGCTTTCCTTCGAGATAATTAATTTGAATGTCCCCACTTTACGATTTTGTGTGTGTGTGTATGTAACACATTATTACAGTGGATGGAGAAGACATCATCTGGATTATACATATTTCGCAATGAAAGAGAAGAAGAAAAGGAAGCAGCAAAATATGCAGAGGCCCAACAAAAGAGACTGGAAGCCTTATTCACTAAAATTCAAGCAGAATTTGAAGAGCGTGAAGGTACAATGAGTTGTACGTTATAAATTTTTTGTTTTTATCATGAGAACTAAGTGTCAGAGGCTTCCAATTTCACATTTATAATTGAATGAATTATCAATTATCTATTATTTTGAATAGTAGATTATTTTTCTGGTTGTGAATCTGAATTTTTCCTCATTAAAAAAATCCTTACCCTAATATACAGAGAAGCACTTAACTAACACCAAATTATCGCATCTTCATTTAACACACTGAACTTTCATACTTGTAATTGTCGTAGGCAATAACACCTTATATACTTATAGAACTTTTCTGAAACCTTAAGTATACTCCTTTTAAGCTTTACTCCTAAAGTGTCTAGAGTATCCCTCTTTTGGTGTTAGGGCAAGAACAGCCTCAAGAAAGAGACCTGTGAGATTATTTTCCCCTAAGCCATTTATCACTCTTTTTCCTCAATGTCCTTGTCTGCATTATATAAATTTTATATTTTATTATTGTAGTTATTTTCATGTATTGTTATACCTGGAACTAGCACTTGTTATGTCCATGTCATCAAATTTTAATAATAAAAATCATAGTTTTTTTAATGTTTAAAGGACAAAAGTTTACTTTTTCTAATTTACTTATTTTTGTTCCTGAAGATCTCATGCTTTCCTGCATTCCTTATGTCCTTGACTTTCCCAATTTTCACTTAATATTTAACTTAGTATTCTATATAAATCTGCAGAAAGATTGGATTCCTAATACTTTTTTTGCTTAAATTTATCACTAGCTTATAGTGTTTTTGTGAATGAGTGAATCATGAACTCATTTACAGGCATACCTCAGAGGTACTGCAGGATGGCTTCCAGACCGCTATAATAAAGCCAGTATCGAAAGAAAGGAAGTCACAGAAATTGTTTAGTTTCCCTGTGCATATTAAAGTTAAAGTTTACACTATACTCAGTCTGTTAAGTGTGCAATAGCACTATGCCTAAAAAAAAACCACCTAACTTGATTAAAAAATACTTAATAAAAAGTGCTAATGGGCTCGGCGCCTGTGGCTCAAGGGGCTAAGGTGCCAGCCACATACACCTAAGGTGGTGGGTTCGAATCCCCAGCCCGGGCCCGCCAAACAACAATGATGGCTGCAACCAAAAAATGGCCAGGCGTTGTGGCGGGCGCCTGTAGTCCCAGCTACTTGGGAGGCTGAGGCAGGAGACTCGCTTGAGCCCAGGAGTTGGAGGTTGCTGTGAGCGGGATGCCATGGCACTCTACCCAGGGGGATAGCTTGAGGCTCTGTCTCAAAAAAAAAAAAAAAGTGCTAATGGTCGTCTGAGCCTTCAGCAAGTTTGTAATCTTTTGTAGGTAGAAGGTTTTGCCTTGGTGTTGATAGCTCAAGATAGTAGTTGCTGAAGGTTGAGGTCCCTGTGGCAATTTTTAAAACGAAGACAATAATGAAGATCGCTGCATGGATTGGCTCTTCCTTTTATGAAAGATTTCTCTGTGGCATGTGATGTTGTTTGATAGGATTTTACCCAAAGTAGAGCTTTCAGAATTAGTCACATCCTCTCAAACCCTGCCAAAGCTCTATGAATTTTTGTATTTAATTCTCTAAACCCTTTGTTTTTCAACAATGTTCACAACATCTTCTCTAAGAGTAGATTTCTTCTCCCTTTCTTTGCTCATCCATGAGAATCAGCTTCTCATCCATTCAAGTTTTATTATGAGACTGCAGCAATTCAGTCCTATCTTCAGCTCCACTTCTGATTCTAATTCTCTTGCTCTTTCCCCAGCTTCTTCAGTGACTTCATCTTGGATCCCTTAAGGTCATCCAGGAGGGCTGGAATCAATTTCTTCCAAACTCCTGTTAATGTTGATATTTTGACCTCCTCCCATGTATCATGAATATTCTTAATGGCATCTAGAATGATTTTTAATTTACTTTGCCCAGATCCATCAGAGGAATCTCTGTCTATAGCATCATAGCCTTATAAGCTATATTTTTTAAATCCTAAGTCTTTTTTTTTTTTTTTTGAGACAGAGCCTCAAGCTGTCCCCCTGGGCAGAGTGCTGTGGCATTACAGCTCACAGCAACCTCCAACTCCTGGGCTCAAGCGAGTCTCCTGCCTCCGCCTCCCAAGTAGCTGGGACCACAGGCGCCCGCCACAACGCCCGGCTATTTTTTGGTTGCAGCTGCCATTGTTGTTTGGCGGGTCCGGGCTGGGGATTCGAACCCGCCACCTTAGGTGTACGTGGCTGGCGCCTTAGCCGGTTGAGCTATAGGCGCCGAGCCAAATCCTAAGTCTTTAAAGTTGAAATTACTTCATGATCCATTTGCTGCAGTAGTATTTTGAAAACAATCTTTTTTTTTTTTTTTTTTTGGTCTGAGCAATAGCTCTCAACAATGCTCTTAAAATATTCAGTAAATCATGCTGTAAACAGATGTGCTGTCATCCAGGGTTTATTTTTCCATTTCTAGAATACAGGCAGATTTAGCATAATTCTTAAGGGCCGTAGGATTTTTAGAACCATAAATGAGCATTTGTTTCAACTTCAGTCACCAGCTGCCAATCTCAGCTTGTCCCTTGAAACTTTGAAACCAGGAATTGACTTCTGTAACTATAAAAGTCCAAGATAGCATCTTCTTCCAATATGAGACTGTTTCATCTACACTGAATATCTGTAGTTTAGTGAATCTGCCTTTACCAGTGATCCTAGGTAGATCTTCTGGATAACTTGCGACAGCTCCCCATCAGCACTTGCTGCCTCGACTTGCACTTTTATGTTATAGAGATGCCTTCTTCCCTTAAGCCTCAGGAACCAACCTCTGCTAGCTTAAGACTTTTTTCCTGCATCTTGCTTGGCTCACTCAGCCTTCATGGAATTGAGAGTTAGGACCTTACTCTAGATTAGGTTTGGGCATAAGGGAATGTTGTGACTGGTGTGGTCTATCCAGACCACTCAGACTTTTTCTGTAACAGTAACAAGGCTATTTTGCTTTCTGATAATTCATGTGTTCACTAGAGTAGCGCTTTTCTTTAAGAACTTTTCCTTTGCATTAATAATTTGGCTAACCAGGGTGGTGCCTGTGGCTCAGTGACTAGGGCACCGGCCCCATACACCAAACTGGTTCAAACCCAGCCCAGGCCAAACTACAACAAAAAAATAGCCAGGTGTTGTGGCAGGCGCCTGTAGTCCCAGCTACTCGGGAGGCTGAGGCAAGAGAATCACCTAAGCCCAAAAGCTGGAGGTTGCTATGAGCTGTGACGCCACGGCACTCTACCGAGGGCGATAAAGTAAAACTCTGTCTCTTAAAAACAACAACAACAACAATAATTTGGCTAACTGCTTAGCACAAGAGGCCCAGCATTTGCTCTGTCTCAGCTCTCAATATGTTTTTCTCACCAAACTTAATCATTTGTAGCGTGATGTTAAAGGGGGAGAAGTGTGGCACTTCCTTTCATTTGAATACTTAGAGGCCATTGTAAGGTTATTAGTTGTCCTAACTATAATACTGTGTCTCAGAGCCTAGGGATGCCCACAGAGAGGGAAAGACATAGGGTAATGGCCAGCTGGTGGAAGAGTTGGAACATGCAAAACATTTGTTAAAGTTTACCATCTCATACACATATAGGCGTTGTTTATGGCACCCCAAACAGTTACAATAGTAACATCACAGATCACCATAACAGATGTTATCATAGTGATGAAACAGTTTGAAATTTCATGAGAATTACCAAAATGTGACAGGGAGACACAAAATGAGCACTTCCTGTTGGAAAAAGACTGCCAATAGGCTTGCTTGACACAGGATGCCACAAAAATGCAACTGGGTGCTGTGCAAAGCGAAATAAAGTGAGATTTTATAAAACAAGTATGCTTGTACTTAATACTAATTACTCTCAATAAACGCTTGACTTTTTTTTGGACCATGTTAAATTTTCTTAGAAAACTTAGCAGATAAATGTTTGTTTGTTTTGAGACAGAGTCTCACTATGTTGTCCTCGGTAAGAGTGCCATGGCGTCACAACTCACTGCAACTCTTGGGCTTAAGCAATTCTCTTGCCTCGGCCTCCCACGTAGCTGGGACTACAGGC